TGGGATAAACCCGAAGAACTGAAGTCAGAGACCGAGAAACTGTTGGCCAACTGTCACTGGAAGGAGTATAAGACCGAAGACCAGAGGGTCTACTACCACAACATTGTGACCAAGGAGTCCATGTGGACTATACCTCACGAGTTGGACGAACTTAAAGCTAAGATTGCCAGCGAAGAGGCTAAGGCTTCCACTGCCGGCTCCACCAATGGATTCCAGACAACAGCGTCGGAACCGTTGCCAAAGTCGCCCAATCAGTCATCATTGCCCACAACTCCTCAGTCGACACCACAACAGACAATGACTCCGACGATAACCATTCCTTCGACTCCACCACAAGAGCCGCAGATGACTGAAACACCTCCAGAACCCAGCGGTGATAAAACTCCTGAGTCTCCGACCAGTAGTGAAGGCAAAGTGGACAGCAGTCCCAACGACTTCCCACTTCCCGCCACTATTATGACCCCAACGGAGACCAAAGATCTGTCGGAAGTATTTAAAGACTTATTGAAGGAGAAGAACGTGTCGTCGACTGCCAGTTGGGAACACGCGCTCAAACTCATTGGTTCTGACCATCGCTTCGAACGGTTCCGCAGCCATCCCGAGAGGAAGCAGTTCTTCAACGCATATAAAGTGCAAAAAGCGAAGGAAGAGAAGGAGGAGCAGAGGGTTCGCGCCAAACGAGCCAAAGAGAATTTGGAGAAGTTTTTGCACTCAACCGACAAAATCAATTCGTTGACCAAATACAGGGCAGCCATCGAAGTGTTGAGAGACGTGGACGTCTGGAAAGCTGTTCCGGAGATCGATCGCAGAGAGATCTTCGACGACGCGATCGTGTTTTTGGCCAAAAAGGAGAAGACGGAAGCGAAACAATTGCGGAAACGAAATATGAGAGTATTGAGCGATATATTGGACTCAATGACTCAAATCACACACCGGACCACTTGGCAGGAGGCGCAGCAGCTGTTGCTCGACAACCCGGTGTTCGCAGAGGACGCCGAGCTCTTAGGTATGGATAAGGAGGACGCGCTCATTGTCTTCGAGGAACACATCAGACAATTGGAATCCGAAGAAGAAGAGGAGAAAAAGCGCGAAAAGAAGAGACAAATTCGACTCCAGAGGAAGAATAGAGAGTCGTTTATAGGCTTTTTGGACGAACTGCACGCCAGCGGAAAGTTGACGTCAATGTCTAAATGGGTTAACCTGTACCACGAGATCAGTGCTGACCCGCGGTTCAGTGCAATGCTGTCGCAGCCCTTCTCGGGCTCAACACCTCTCGACTTATTTAAGTTTTATGTCGAAGAACTCAAAGCCAGATATGAAGACGAAAAGCAATTGATTAAAGACATCCTCAAGAGTAAAGACTTTGAGGTGACGATTGCCACCACTTATATAGACTTCGCCACTATTCTGAGTGAAGACACTCGAAGTGCGACACTCGACGGCGGAAACGTTAAAATCATTTACGAGAAGCTCATCGAAAGAGAGAAGGAGAGGGAAAGGGAGCGAATCAAAGAGGAACAGAAGATTAAGCGTAAACTAGAGACCGCTTTCTTAGCTGTATTGGCAAAACTGGATCCGCCTATCGATGAGGACTCCGATTGGGATTCTGTCAGACATCTCATTGCCAATGAAGAGGCTTTTATGGCTATTCCTACAGAAGCCGAGAGAATAACAATATTCAAGAGTTGCATCCGAACTATGGAGGAGTCGTGTAGTCATCACCACTCGAAGGCTAAGAAGAGCTTCTATTCCAACAAAAAGACCGATAAATCCAAGAAAATTAAGAAAAGATCTCATTCTTCCTCGTCTTCATCTTCATCGTCGAGTGGAGACGAGCGCCGACACAAACGCAGTGAAACCACTAAAAAGGACAGTCGATCCCATTCTAGAAGCGATCGTTCCGCTCATTCTCACAGCTCTTCCAGTGATAGCGAAAAGGAGTTTCAGAAATTCAAACCAATTCCTCCGCGAAAGCAGTCTTCTGTAAGATCTTTAACTTCTGAACTCGAAATATGTTTGAATGAAACGTTTTGTTTGTTTTTGAAGGAATCCGATGACGAAAGGGCGCGATTGGAATCTCCAGAGAAAAGTAAAGTCACGGAAAAGACTTCCAATGCTAACGAGTCTTTCGACGATTTGGAAGAATTGGAGAAACAAAGGAGAATATTGTTGCAACAGTTGGCCGCACATCACACCACCCAATGATCACTTCATTCACAGACTTTACAATTAAATTAAGAGTTTTGACATTTCATTATAATTTTTTAATTAATAAAACTTAATTAATAAAATATTTAATAATTACAAAATAAACTTATATAATATAAATAATATACAAAATTATAAATTCCATAACTTATCAACTCTTTAAAGCTTTTGATATGTCCTGAAGACTAGCATACGTTCCGGTGAAGAAACCGATGATCCCTATCAGGAATATAGACGTGTTTTTGGCGACGAGTAGCCACCAGTTCGTACCCCTTTCTATAGTTG